GGATTGATGTATTTTGTTCTTGCAGCATACTGCACATGTGCTAGGTGTCGTAGAACCTAAAACTTTGTCATGAATATGACCTCTTGGCGCAACCGTTAAATTGGCTGATGTACTTTGTACAAATTGGTCGGACACCACGGGTTCAATTCCTGTGGGGGTCCATTTTGTTTCTGGGCACCGGTTATGCCTGGTCATGACCGGTTAGTGGTCGGTTATCAGCAGTTATTCATACTTTCATTTTGCCATGACTGTTGACTGTGACCGGTTACTGACTGTGGTTACAGTCATTTCCCACAGCGGTTATGTGCGGTCAGGTTAGGTTTGGTTAACAGTCTTTCAACGGTTACAAGACCTGACTTTCAAACGCTAGTTGGTTGGGTTGGTGCAAATATAGCAAGGAAATCATCGAGATAATGACGGATGCGGGCTGGGATGTGGCGTTGGATAATCCAATGCAGGGCTTCGGCGAACAGGTTGAAGATGTGCGGCGCTGAGCGAACACCGAAGCATAGAACCAACTCGTAATAGAACTTTTCAGCCCATGTGAAGCCGAGAAGTGGCCAGTCATCGGGTCTGACGGGAATGTGACGAAACGCCTGCTCCAAATCGAGCTTAATCATGAGAGAACCTGGCCAGAGGCTATGAGGTCCCTCGCCGCGGTGCTGAACGCGTCGTAGCTGATTGTTGCCTCAGAGTCGGGAATGCCATCATTGACTGATGTACCGTGAGGCCACGAGAGATGAAAGATGCGGCGAACTTTGGTTTGACGTTTGCGCGTGATGGCACCCTGAGGTGAGCAGTGAAAGTGGGGAAGGGGAGGCGAGTCGAATGGTCCACGTGTATGACCAGCGGCGAGTTGGGCAGCGATGTCGGCCTCGATTGCGAGCGGGTGTTCTGCGGCGGAACGGAGATTAGCGCATGATTGAGATAAGGAGCGGTCTCCCTGAAACCCCAGATTGGCGCCGTGACGAATGATATGGATTAGTGCCTGAACGAAGTCCTGATCAGGATAATCACGAAGATAAGATGCCCAAGCATTTTCATTTAAAATAGGTGGTACAGATGGTAGCAACGAGGAATAAGATGGGGCGCGATTTGCTCTCGGAGCAGTGTTCGGGCGAGGAGGAGGTGGAGATTGGGCAGGAAATGATGAATGGAATGGAAGTAGGGAGGAAATGTCCGTGGAAGCAGGTGCCGGAGTGTGTGTGTGACCGTTCTCACCAGGAACTGGATCCGGGCGAGTAGTGTGAGGGCGGTACTCGCCCGACCGGCACTCTATGTGGTCTTCGGATGATTGTGCGCACCATGCTCTGGCTTATTGCATGTGGAGCAGAGATGCTGACGGCTGTAAGGACATTTGTCGCCAGTGCACTTGCCCACATTGAAGTTGCGGCACGTAGTGGAGGCGGGCGCGACGGGGGGAGATTTCCGGGCAGTAGAGGTGGTAGAGGTGGTCGTTTTGCCTGGCTTCCTGTTTGGGTACAGGTGATCAGCGCGTAGCTCGATATCTGCTCGTGTCCACCCGCTGTAATCTCCTTCCATCATCTCCCGTCGACGGCGCGAGAAGAACGCCATGTGGTACGCGACGACGGCATGCCACTCGTACTCGGAAGCCATCTTCACGAGGTGCGCATTATACGTGAAGAGCGCCGCGCCAAGGCGAGCGCAGTTGGAAGCGTGTTGGGCATGAAGGAGGAGAATGCTGAAGTAGGTGGAGAGTGGGACAATGATGGAGTTGAGCGTCTTGAACTCTTTCAGAGAAGAGTCCTCGCCAGTGAGTTCTAGTGTGCCTGTGGATCCGTTGAATTCAACGGTGCGACGCTCGGATTTGTCGCGGTAAGGGGAATCCAGCTTGTAGAGGTCGAATGCGCGGAACTCGTGTGTGATGATTGCCGTGATAACGGCCGCCTCGACTTCGGGAAAACAGGAAAGTAAAGGCGGGATGGCGACGTACCGGCGGCAGGGTTCGCTGTCAGTGGACCGATGAACAGTGGGTTCGATGACTGCGTGGCGGCAGGCTGCTGCTGCTGCTGCTGCTGTTGCTGCTGCTGTTGTCCGGATTGCTGCTGCTGCAGGAGCGACGCGATTAGCGTGTCGACAGAGCTCTTCAACGCGTTAAAATCATCCATAGAGGGGCCGGACATCGTTGGTGATGGAGGTGGAGGTGAATGTGGTGGTGACCAATGATCGGATGAAAGGTGGATGGATGAGAGCGATGATGAAAGAAAATTGTCGGTGTCGAGATCGCACGGTGGAGTGGCTGGTCTCTTGGTGAAGCGGCCTCTGCTGTTACGAAACGGAGCCAGAACAAATGAAATTGAAGTACACGAGGACACGGAACTGCAAGCAGTGAGCGAAGAGACTGTGATACTGTAACGGTACGTACCTGCGAGCAGTGAGCGAAGAGACGAAGCTCGTTCACTGCCCGCAGGGAATATATATACAAGGAAACAAAGGAGAAAGAAGACAAAGAGCAAAAGCAAGCGCGAACGCGTCGATCGGCGCATTGACCCTGAACAAGCCTCCGCTTGTTCACCTCAACAAATTGGCTGTAAGCAAGCGGCAGGGGTTCGACTCCCCTTCGGTGTATAAATACAAGGTCATCCTTTTTCGAAACCGCCTCCGCCCGCCCTTATCCCGCCACTTTCAGCTTGCCTGAGTGCCAGACTGCACCTATCCCGAACCCAGGAAGGCTCGTCTGATTCAGGATTGCCCAAGATCACCCTAGCAGAGCCAGCTCAGGTAGGGTGGTGCCGTAAACCTACGCCCCCGTAAGTAACGGTTAGTAACCTACCCGCCTTTCGAGGCGCGGTTTCGATACGGTTTCTTACCGTTACTTACCAGCACGTGACTTCTATCATGTGACTAGCGCCCGCTGCCCCGCCCGCCCTCCCGCCCATCCTTCCTGTTCCCCAGCGGCGCCTCCGCACACCCTGCAAGTCACACCCCTCCTTGAGGTGGTCTGTTACTTACCAGTTACTTACCGGTAACTTACCGGTCCGATACTCAAGTGTATCAAAACTAAGGGTTTACTGCGCCACCCTAGCCAGCTGCCAACCTCCACAACAAACAACCAGCGACCCAGGGGTCTAGTGACTAGTCAGCAATGAGCGTGCCACCATCAACCTTACGGGAGTGCTGAAAACCAGTCTCTTACAGCGATGTAAAGTTGTGCTTGTGTGGCGCATACGACCTTCATTGATGTATTCCGGGTCTTTCATAATTCTGGGAGTTTTACGGCTCCACTCTAAGTAAGTACCCAGCACCTGGCCTCTCACTATCAGTCAAACTCCCCAGCATTTGAATTCAAGTGACCCAGTTGTAAACAACACCCGCAGGTAGAGGCGTGTGTGTCAGGCTCAACGCCGCATCAAAACCTCACAGCACTATTTCGGTGTTCTCCAAGTCGTTGAAGTGAGCGTCCATGGAAGGGCGGAGATGAATCAAACAACGTGGAATACAGAGTCTCACCTGATTCGACTAACGTTCTCGGTCCTAGCATCTGTTTTACCGTCGTTGTAGTTCCCCACCCACAGTATAAGTGACGATCAACCGCGAAAAGTTTCAAGTTGGATGGGCTTCTCGCGCTTGCCCGATCAAACCGTATTCCTGAACGCGGGATGAAGGGAAAAGGATACATATGGATTGAGAAGGGTAAGCACAGAAATATACAGCAACAACAAAAACTTGGGGAGAAACGAACATGTACGCGCATTGTTATAGAACGGGCTCTTACATCCACATGCCCCGATCCCAACTCGGATCCTGCAAGAACGCACAGAGTACCTTGCTCCCCGTCTGCAACAGCGGGTGGCCCGCGACGACCGACAAGAACCTAAGCACTTGGGGTGAGGATCAGCCGAAGAAGAGGACACCAATACTCACCTCTCCAACCCCTCCCTCCTCTGCTCGATGACCTCTTCGCTAAAGCGATTGGTGAAGACTTTTCCTGGAAGTGGTGGAATGTTAACACGCGTCGACTCGCGCTCGAGGATGTCCCGGAATGCCTGCAGAAAGGGGGAGGTGAGGGGAAGAAGAAGAAGAAGAGGATGGGACGTATACCTCAAAATCGCTGTAGCGCCGCCTGACGAGGGAATGGCGGAGCTTGAACGCGGGAATGTTGGTCTTGGTGATGATCTCGTATGACGTGAACTGCTTGCGTCCGAATCCTGCTACACGTGAGTACGAGGTAAGAACGAGGGAAAGGAATGCTCACCGGTCGTCTGCGGGTTCCGGACCTCGATTTCTAAGAATGACTCGGGGACGGAATACATCTCTTCGATCTGGAGGAGCGCTGTTGAGTCGGGAGAGGAAGAGAGGGTCTGAAGAAGAAGAGGCAGAACGAGATAAGCTCCGAAGCCGATGTGCGCCCATCCTAAGGCTATAGTAACCAGCACCGACCTATATTTCGGCGGGCAATCGGCACCCAACAGACATTGCGCCTATCCAGCCGTACACGCAAAAACAAACAAAAGCAAAAGGAGGCGGTGCACTCACAGTCTGCTCTCTCCCGACATGACTCTCCTCAAACGCCGTGCTCCTCGCAAAAGGCGACACCGTCGTCATCTCTTTTTCCTATTCCTTCTTTCGCCTGTGTTCTGTGTTCCCTGAGTCGGGTCCTGGCTCTTGGTCCCGGATGTCGTGTGGGTGCTGTGTATATACACAAATTGTGTTCGCCCTTCCTAAGAGACTCCAGATAAGCCATCTTCGCCGGTTCGCTGCGGGAATCTCCTGCGCACCTGCGACAGTGGTGTGTTATAAACCGAAAAGCGTTTATGGATGATGATTGTCAGTGGGCAAGACGCAAGAAGACCCTAACCCTAATGCACAGCTTTTCCTCCTCGAGCATTCTATGAATGCTCGCCGTTAACGTTGCTCTGAAGTTTCTGAACATTTTGCTAAACAGCTTGGACTGTACAATTGTGAGTAGGAAGTAAAGGGAATTATCTGAAACCTCAAAAAGTATCAAAGCGTTCAAAAGTTGACAGCATTAATATATATACACCGAAGGGGAGTCGAACCCCTGCCGCTTGCTTAGAGGAGTGTCCGATCTGCTATGGAAGGCAAGCATGATAACCGCTTCACCATCGGTGTATTGCCTTGGCTTCGAGTGGAATTTGTGGCGACCTCTTTCAACACTTCATTGCTGACCTTCTAGTCCTCCCAGCCAAGATGTACATACACAAGATGTCAGCGTGCAGTCAGCGTGTCAGAAACACCTTCAAACAGATCTAGTAGGGCTCTAGTGGTAGGTTTAGCTTCTGGAAACAAAACAACGGGCAAATTCGTGCCCAAAGATAATCGCCGTGGCCCACTACTCAAGGTAGAGTTCAAGACTGGAATCGGATACACGGCGTCGGGTGTAGGCCCACTAACAAGTACGAAAAAGCCACTAAGCATGTTCGCCTTGGAAGCCCTTCGCGTCGATAGGGTGCAAAGGATACGGACCTCGCGGCGAATGGAAATACTGCTCTGCTGTCATTTTGTACGGCGATGTCAAGCGGTTGGGGTAGCCGTTCAAACCCCATTGACAAACATTGACAATCTCTGTCACGGTGCGCCAATGGATTTGCGAGCGGGGGTATGAAATCACGGGATGGAGACTTCTTCTTCATTCGCGATGAATGATCAACGCGCGATGGCACGTGCTGTGTGCATTCCAAGTTCCAACCACTAGACCGACTAGGCGCCTATACTCTTGTCCTCAGCATCATTAATGTGAGCGTCTTGACGCGTCTGCTCTGTATTGGGAATATGGTACGCGTCGTGGTCCCGTTTAACTCGGCTCTAACCTTAGTCTAGCCTTCCCCCCGAACTCAAATCCCATATTATTAGCGAGCAGGCCCCTTATTATGATGTGCAGACGAGGCAGCATACTTCTGCGACCTCCGTACGGTCTGGCCAGATGCCATTCGCAAAATCCTCTTCCGCACCGTCTCTCTTGGCGCAGGCGAACATAACTTGGATGCCTCTCTTCGCAATCTCTGTCAGGTGCTAGAGAGTGACCATTAGTCGCCACCTTCGTCGACGCTCGAGTTGTGCGGTTGGAACCCTAGAGCTCCTGACCTGAGAAGGACTTCCTCACTGTTTCTTTATATGGCTGGGGCAGACAGTAACTCAGTCAAGAGGGGTGACTCATCAGAACAACCAAGTTGAAAGAGCTCCAGAAGGCCCTGATTGCGATTGGTCTAGCTTGTGAGCCTCCAAATCCGTTTCTGTACAAGGCTGTTGACTTTAACATGGTTGTAAACGGACGCGGACACGATTTCTAAACTTTGCTGTTTACCACCAACGCGCAGGCTCCGTCTTAACCTCTGTAGGCGGCATACGACTAGCTTAAAAGACGCTGCAGGCAGCTTATTTACCGCACCGCGATCTACTCACGGAAACCCGCGGAAGACTCACATTATAAACCCCGGCCAGCTTTACGTTCGGGACTGCGCGTCTCACATCCATCCGTATAAAGTTGTAAGGATGTCCCCGGGGTTGGTAAAAATATTGGTGTTGCTATGCTCAACATCCAGATCTTGCTATTCGTCTTGCCTCTCATTGTATACGAAGCGCGAGGCGCAGGAACGTCTATATCTCTCTCGGCGCAACGCGGTAGGAGAGGTGGCAGTCTCACCCGCCGCGCACCAGGGCCTTCCCAGCTAGACGACTTTGCGGATCTGTCGTACTCGACGAACGTCACGCTCAGCGGAGAAACATACGAGGTCCAAATCGATACTGGTAGGTGCGTATGTCTCTTTTTACCCCTCCGCTCCGTCCTTGGCTCACGGTAATATCCGACCAAGCTCCGACCTTTGGGTCGTGCCCTTGAACAACGTCTCCGTGCCCGACAGCATAGATACAGGCGCACAAGCATCCGTGAGCTACGCTATTGGGAACGTGTCGGGCCCCATCAAAACCGCTGAGCTGGTCTTTGCCGGGTACACTGTGCCAAATCAGTCTTTCAGTAAGTCCTCCATAACCACCTACAGCCCTCAATTCTTTGATCTGCATAGTCCAAGTTGCGCCCGGGCAAAACGCCACAAGCATCCCCTCCCAAAACGGGCTCATCGGCCTAGGCCCCAACGCAGGCTCCCAAATTGAAGAGGCGCTTGGGACCGCCGCGGGATATGGCGCGCTCGATAATATATTTTTGCAAAATGAGTGTGCGCAGAATATCCTCACGATTCTGCTGGGGCGGGTAGATGGTGCGTTGTTCCCTTCATCAGCACTTACCGCTTCACCTTACTTACTACACACAGACCCCTTTCATGCCTTCAATGGGACACTCTCCGTCGGGGAGGTTCTCCCCGGGTTCGAGGATATTCTGGAGCAGCCCCGACTCGATCTGAGTGAGGGAACGCATTTCCAGTTTTTGATGGATGCGGATAGTATTATCGCGCCGGATGGGCGCGTGGTGTATGTCACTGAGAGTGTGGTTACAGATAATATTAGTAAGAGATGGCACAAACACCGCCATGGGAAGAAGGATGATGGGAGGAACGTGACCGCGACGGCGGTGGTGGATAGTGGGTTTTCGTTGAGCCAGGTGCCCAGGTACGCGTATACCTCCACTTCATCCCTTCTGCCTTTCGTCATTCTGTGCTCATCTACCCAATAGACACGTCGCCGACGCATTCTACTCCTCATTTCCCGACGCGAAGTACGTCAACGTCGATGGAGTCGGCTACGTGTGGGTCCTGCCGTGCACGCAGGAGGTGAACATCACGTTCCAGTTCAAGGGCGTGCAGTATCCGATTCATCCGCTGGATGCTACCATGTTAGTAGTCCGAGTCCTGTGCACACGTGTTTCATTCTTGACGCGTTCATGTAGGGACGTCTCGTCACTTGGAGTGGACAACATCACTGATTCACGCGGCCACGCGGCGTGTGTTGGGACGGTGGGTGTCTTTTCTTTGTCTGTCTTTTACCAATCATAACCCCGGCGTCATTGGCAGTTCCAACCCATCGCGTTCGACGCGCAAGGTGAATTTGATATCATCCTCGGGATGTCGTTTAGTACGCGCTCTTCCTTCCCTTCCTTTCCTTCCTATTTTCTACTCTGCTAACTGGACTGGTAGTCCGCAGCGCATATACGCTAGTCAACTTTGGCGACTTCCTTGCGGGCGACAAGAGTAATGCGAAGGGGGATGGGTATATACAGTTTTTGAGCACGACGGATCCGGCGGAAGCGCATAGGGATTTTATTGCTGTTAGAGGGATGTAGGCAACAGTGAGATCTAGATTGGGGCGAGTTGGAGTGTGCTGATTGCCACTGGATGGTTAACAAACGGAAATAGAGGGAGTTGTTTAGTGGATTTTGAAACGTGTACTGAACAAGGTACTGAATGTACTATTTATATGAGAAATGTCTGAAACGCTCTACCAGTTGAAGCTTTCAAATTTCAGGTGTGATTTCTTAGAAGCCTGTAGGAGCAGATGCCAAAAACCCTACAGGAGCAGACGCGGACAATCCTATAGGAGGGTTGGTATGAGCCTACACAAGGTGATTGCCAAACAATCGCTGAGGTGTCATTCTTCCTTCCTTCAAGCATACAGGAGCAGAACATGTGAACATACCTGCAGGATCTTCTAAACATCCCGAAAGGAGCACTCAGAAGATCCTACAGTGGCATTGGGTGAGTGTACGGTTGACTGAACCTATAGGAGCAGTGCAGTGACGTACAGGAGCGTTGCCAACCCACAGCCTGCGACAGCCAGCAGGTGGCGATATCTGCCGTCTTACACGTAAAATCCAAGTGGCAGCAACACGTGGACGTTCCCACTTTGTTCTCTGCGTCCAACAAGCGTCAAAGCCTATCATTCCAGACTGACCTGAAATGCTGCGGCTTGGGCTAGGCACGTATTTCCCGTCGTTTCCCCGTCAGTACGTGTATTGACATCGAATTCACATCAGATACATTGCCTTGTCGGGCGAGCCCGTCTTGTACATGCGCCAACCATCTTACTCCCGACGCGCCGCCATTCGGGAGTATTCCTGCCCCCCCTCCCTGCCTGCGTCGTCTCGAAGCTAGCAATGAGGTTCCATCGCCCGAAGAAGAAGAGGACTTGCGTACTGGTCTTTCACAACTTACAAGTCTCCGTACACATGCAGAGGCCACGCTTGCCGGAATCACTGAGACCCGAGCTGCTGACGCGCGCGCCACCGCATGGCGTATATTTCACTATACTGTCCGACAAGCAGAGGAAGCCCGTGGTCGTGTACTTCATCCCTTACGGCGCGTCCCTTCGGAAATCCTGCAGCAGATCTTTCAGATGGCTGTCACCTCGGAGAAGTGGGATGTCGACGAACCGGGAGAGGGATGGCGTGGCGCGCCCCCCTATCGCCCGCCCAATAATCCGCTGTGGGCCGTGGAGCTGGCGTGCAGACGCTGGCGCTGCGTGGTCCTGGAGAATCCACGCCTTTGGTCTACGATCTGTATCGACGCTGTAATGAGCAATTTCTACGATGATGAGAAGGTGTCATATCCGCGCCGGGTAGCGACGCATCTTGCTCGATCTGGTGCGGTTCCGTTGTCTGTCTGCATATACTCGGGCTCCGACGACAGCATCCCCTCCACACTCGTGCACATGCTTCTCCCTTTTGCCTCTAGAATTTGTACACTTCTATTGTGCATCCCAAAGGAGAAGATCAACGACCTTTCTCCGTTGCGGCGCGACTTGACGAGTCTCACACGCTTGAACGTTCTCGGTGGTGGGCCCTCCCAGAGTCTGTCGTTCTTTGCGATGCATGTTTCCGTATTTCGCGTCCTCCAAAGCCCAAGTGAGGTCTCTCTTCCGTGTTCGCTGAGAGATCTTGTGTTGGACGCGTACACAATCGCTGATCCAGTGATATCCCTTCTGGAGCAAGCGGGCCCGTGTGTGGAACGAGTAAGGCTCGACACGCTCCAACTAACGCAGCAGCCGTCACGAAGGATTTCAATGTCAATGTTAACCGGATTCTCTTTGCTATGTAGCAACCGTAGCGTGTGCTACATTTTGGACAACCTCGTCCTTCCCAATCTCCTGAATTTGGAGATCCGTGGCCGCCACCCGCCGCCGGTGTTCGGGAATGATTATCCGATGGTTGACAGTGTGCTCATGTC